TAGAAAAGAACTAACCAATAAATACATAAATACATAAATTTCATCGTTGTAATAAAAATTTAAAGAGGTAAGATCAGGGACTAAATAAAGAGCACCTAAAAATAGATGGAAGAGGGAGACGACAGTGGAGATGAAATTTGGGAAGAAGAACACTGCAGTACAGAGGGTTCTGTAGAATACAGGCGGATACGCACACACTTTTGGTTGGAGCAAACCTACGTAGATAACGAGGGGGCAGAGCATTGGCAGGACAAGCAAGAGATTAAACAAAAACTCTGGCAAATCACTAAATTCATGAATTTGAAAAAAGTAAAAGAAGAGTTTCCAGGTGCCCCATGGGAAGTGATTTTGTGCAGACTGTGGATTCCTTACTCACTAAACCCACTTTTGCAGAGCTTGTGTGATAATTATAAGAATGGACCAGTAGCTTCACTTCCTCTGCACCGGATAAGAATACAAGGCCAAGCAGGAGGGGTACGATACGCTCCACGGCTGCAAATTGTTGTCATGCCCAGAAAAGTTGAGTGGTAGACAGGGAAATTTGGGTGTCTAACCCAGATCTCCCAAGGGGACAGGTCACACAAATTAGAGTACAACCCGTATAGAGAAAAGAAATATAAAACTGCCATAACAGTAGGGAAGATCATAGTACTGATACGCACAAAAGAAACAGACGAACAGCCAGAGATCCCAAGAACCAGTGAAGCCAAACAAGGCTTCATGGGAGCCAACCAGGGAAAGATGGAAAAAGGGGTCTTAACCCCAGTGGAGGTAGTAATGCGGCAACACCCAAGTCGAGTGAAACGCATCCAACGTTGTGTGGGCAAATGGCACAAAAGAACATCAGGGAAAAATCATTGGCCTATGGAAGATACTTTCAATCAAGCATGCTGTGATGAAGTAGAGTCAGAATTGAGACACATTGAAGCCAGAGACACCAAAGCCAGCTATAAGAAATAGAACAGGAGAGCTAAGGAGAGGGAAGTGTTGGGATGGTTCAGATAAGCAGGGGGAAGAAAACAGATGGTGCAGCTGGAGGAAAAGAAAAAAGAACACCAGGATCAAGAAGAAGTGATGCCTACAGCACCACCCCTACCCACACCACCACCGCCCCCATACCTGCAGAAGCCAACACAGCCAATAACAGGACAATATCCACTAGTGGATTCAAAACCCATGCATATGGAGGGCCAATTGCAGGGGAAATTCACAGTGACCTTGACCAAGAATACTAAGCAAGAGGCCAAGAAGGAAAAACAACAGGGACCGCGGAGAAAGCTACCACTGGAGACGGCGCCTCCCTCAGAGACAGACAGTACTGACGGATCGTCGGACGACGACGGGGACACAGAAACCACTGAGTTTGAGTTATACCCAAAGGAACTTAATAGTAAGAGGGGAAGGGGCGCTGAGCAATCAACCGACCTGGAGACGGTAGAGCTTGCCAATGCAGAGGGCACTCCCCCTAGAGGAAGGCAAGCCCCACCCCTGGGACAGAAAGGGAATGGGAAGCCGAGGTGATTAAGGCAAGGCAAGGCAAGGCAAGTTTATTTGTAGAGCACAATTCGTACACAAAATAATTCAAAGTGCTTTACAGAGCAAGAAAATGCATTAAAATTACAATACAAAATAAAAACATAAATAATCATTATAAAATGAACTTTAAAAGAGAAGAGTGCAGATAAGATCCTTTCAGTCATATGCACAGTGAAATAGAGCTGTTTTGAGCCTAGATTTGAACATTGTCAGAGTAGAGGCCTGTCTCACATCTTCAGAAAGACTGTTCCAAATTTTAGCTGCATAAAATTGGAATCCTGATTCCCCATGTTTAGTCCTGACTCTGGGCACCAGCAGGAGGCCGGTCCCTGAGGTCCTCAGAGTCCGAGATGGTTCATATGGCACTAACATGTCAGAGATGTACTTTGGTGCTAGGCCGTGGAGAGACTTGTACACAAGCAGAGCTGCTTTAAAGTCTATTCTCTGAGCCACAGGAAGCCAGTGTAGAGACCTGAGCACAGGACTAATGTGCTCGTACTTCCTGGTTCTGGTCAGGACCCGAGCAGCAGCATTCTGGATGTACTGCAGCTGTCTTACGGCCCGTTTGGAGAGGCCAGTGAGCAGGCCGTTACAGTAGTCTAACCTACTAGAGACAAATGCATGGATAAGTCTCTCCAAGTCAGGTTTAGACACTATACCTTTGATTTTGGCAATGTTTTTTAGATGGTAAAAAGCTGCTGATGTTATTGATTTGATGTGGCTGTTAAAGTTCAAGTCTGAGTCCATTATTACCCCGAGATTTCTAACCTGATTTGTAGGTTTTAGAGAGAGAGACTGGAGGTGACTGCTGACACTTTCTCTTTGTTTCTGTGGACCAAATACGATGACTTCAGTCTTGTCTGAATTTAGCTGGAGAAAGTTGTTTTGCATCCACACACTGACCTGTTGGATGCAGTGACAGAGTGAATCCACTGGTCCATATTCACCTGCTGTCAGTGAGACATAGATCTGAGTGTCGTCTGCATAATTGTGGTAGGACACATTATTACTTTGTATTAACTGGCCTAAAGGCAGCATGTAGAGATTGAACAGAAGGGGTCCCAGGATTGACCCTTGGGGCACCCCACAGGTCAAGGCCATGTGGTCTGAGACACAGTTACCAATTTCAACAAAGTACTTCCTGTCTTCTAGATAGGACTTCAACCAATTTAGGGCAGTGCCAGAGATGCCCACCCAGTCCTCTAGTCTCTGTGAAAGGATCTCATGATCGACAGTGTCAAAAGCAGCACTCAGATCTAGCAGGACTAAAACTGAGACTTTGCCTGCGTCAGTGTTCAGGCGGATGTCATTTGTCACCTTAATAAGAGCGGTCTCAGTGCTGTGATGGGGTCTAAAACCTGACTGGAAAACATCAAAGGAGTTGTTCATTAGGAGAAAGTCAGTAAGCTGTTGGTAAACAACTTTCTCAAGGACTTTGCCTAAAAACGGCAGATTTGAAATGGGCCGGTAGTTGTTCAGTACTGTGGCATCAAGACTGCTCTTCTTTAGGAGAGGCTTTATGACCGCAGTTTTCAAGGCCTTTGGGAATGTTCCAGATTGTAGTGACATGTTAACTATGTGAGCGAGTGGTGGTAACAAACTGCTCAGCACAGACTTTAGAAATCTAGTGGGTAACACATCGAGGCAGCATGTAGATGAACTCAGACTGGTGATGATCTCTTGGACAGTTTTGTCAGTTACAGGTGCAAAATGAGTCAGCTCTAAGTGTCTAGGTGGCTGCAGGGTTGTTATTGGTGTTGTGGAATTGATGGCATTTTTAATGGTCTGAACCTTGTCGCAAAAGAATACTGCAAACTCATTACACTTAGATGTGGAGATCAGTTCCAACGGCAGTTGAGCTGGAGGGTTTGTTAATCTGTTCACTGTTGCAAATAAGACACGCGAGTTGTTACTGCAGTTTCCAATAATTTCAGAAAAGTACCTCTCCCTTGTTCTACGTAAGATCCGGTTGAACACGTACAACTTTTCTTTATAAATTTCATAATGAACATGAAGCTTTGACTTGCGCCATTTCCGCTCGGCCCTCCGGCACTCCCTTTTCTGTGCCCTGACCGAGTCGTCATTCCTCCATGGCGCCTTCTGCTTATTTTTAACCATTTTAACCTTCACAGGGGCAATGGTGTCCAGAACATTCAAAACACTCGAAGTAACAGAGTTCAACAAATCATCAACATTAGAACATGAGGCATTTTCAAAGTTTATCATTTCCATGAACAGAGCACCTGTGCTGTTATTTATGTGTCTCCTCCGAACAACTGCAGGACCAGCCGGTGGTTTGGGAGAAACAGACAGGTCAAAGAAGACACAGAAATGATCAGACAGAGCAACATCAACCACATTGACGTTTGAAATATTAACCCCCTTTGTAATGAGCAGGTCCAGAGTGTGCTGCGCTCTGCTGTGGGTGGGCTCACACACATGCTGAGTCAGGCCAAAGGTTTCAAGGACAGCACTGAGCTCTTTAGCATTTCTGTCACAGACATTATCCACATGTACATTAAAATCACCTGTAATGACCAAACCATCAAAGTCTGTGCATACAATTGAAAGCATCCTGGTAAAATCATCAATAAAACTTTGACGGTGCTGGGGAGGCTTGTATATAACTACATAGAGTATGGACGGAGATTGTTTTAGCTCCATTTTAAAGGATACATACTCAAATGATGAAAACACCCCAAATGACAACCTGTGCATAACCATATGATCTCTAAATATTGCACAGACACCTCCACCCTTTTTGTTTTCTCGTGTTTCAGATTCAAATTTGTAGTTGGGTGGAGCTGATTCCGTTAGAACAGCATTACCTGTGTTTTTGTCAAGCCATGTTTCAGTTAAAAACATAAAATCAAGATTATACGAAGAGATCAAATTATTAATTAAAAATGATTTGTTAGACAAGGATCTGACATTAAGCACAGCAAGTTTCAGATTAGTTTCAGTAGGACTGGACATTATCTTCTTACAAGGGATATGGATTAAATTTCTCTGATTGGACAGTCTAACTGTCCTTCTGTAATCTGGTCTATGTGGTGTGGCTGTAGATATAGCACTAGGGGAGAATATTGTCTCACAGGGCCCCAGCTTGATATTACCTTTATCATGGCTGTAAGTCCTGGGACAGCAGAGGCCCTGTGCATCCTAGCTCTTAGGGATACCAGCTCTGGGGGCAGGCAGGGGAGGACGAGCAGGGGGAAGTTTGGGTGATGGACCAGATGAAAACCGAGGGGGAGGAGCTGGGGGAGCTTTAGTTTGTGAAGCAGGAGAGTTGAAGCTCCTGTGTGACTTGAGGGGCACAGTTTTATACGGGGGAGAGTTCAGCATAGTTGGTGATAGAAGTCTTGACCTTGCTATATTAGGGGTGAGGGGAACCATCTTAATCCCTGATTTGATCAGGCTTTCAAGATGGTTGGGAAGGCCCATGGGGGAAGGTGGGGATGAAAAGGAGAGGGAGAGGGACAAGTCTCTAGAGGGGGTAGATGTGGCAGGGGGGGCCCAGGGCTGGTCTGTGGGTAGAGGAGGTGATGGGGGTGCTGCCGGGTCTGAAACTTCTGCTGGGGCCGTCACAGACGAGTCCAAGGCCTGTGATGAGGGCCCGGGGGGAGGTGGAACCGATGGCGGGCCTGAATCCTTCACTGGGGGCAGTGGAGGCTGTTGTGGTGCTGGAGCTGAATCCTTCGCTGGGGGCGGTGGAGGCTGTTGTGGTGCAGCTGGTGCTGAAACACTGGCTCGGTCTCTGGCTTCTGCGACAGAGATGCTTCTCTCGTTCCTCTTTTCTCTCACTGGTCGCTCAGGACCCTGTCCCGGCCCATTCTGATGCCTCAGAGCGTGGAGGAGGTGTTCCGTCAGCACTCTCCTCCCACCTCTGCACAGGTGTGGGCCCTTTCCCTTGAACAGGTCCTCTCGTTTCCAGAACAGATAAAAGTTCTCAATGTAGTGCAATCCTCTGTGCGCACACTCTTTGGACAGCCATGTGTTCAGCTGAAGCAGCCGGCTGAACTTGTTTATCTTCCTGTCTATGTTTGGAAGAGGTCCACTAATGAATGCCTTGACCTCCACTTTATCAAGCTCCTTGAAGAACTTAGTGAAATCCCTTTTCAAGACTTCAGTCTGTTCCTTTCTGATGTCCACTGCACCCACGTGCACGATCAGCTGTTTGACTCCTCGGTGTGTAGACAAAACTTTTGGGAGGAGTGTTGTTATCTCAGAGACAGTGGCACTGGGACAGCAGCATGTTTGAATTCTTCCGTGGTTTATGCCACTGATAGCACCGTCTCCTATCAGCAGCGTATCTCTGACCTTGACGTTTGGTCCAGATTGTCTGTCTGCCTGCTGTCTTTTGCCGACTTTATGGCTCCAGTTTCGTGAAGATAATCCATTTTCTCTTTGTTCGTTAGAAACATTAAATTCAGTCTCTGACAGTGGCAAAAATCTGTTTGTAAGCTGTATTTTGGGTGATGTTACGTAGGTATTAACATTGTCTCTCATCACTTTGTGCTGCTTTGGCTTAGCACCAAGTTCTCTCCAGGATGAGGCATTTTGGTCTTTACAGAATTTTGGAAAAGACACAGTATCACTCAGGTTTAAGATGAAAGTAGCAGGTTTTTCACCCTTTTTACTGAAAGTAACTGTGGGCTTCTTACCACCGGATGTCACTGGGAGCGTCTTGTGAAGTCCTTTTTCAGATTCTAAAGCAAAAATCCGTGCTTGTAGCTCATTAATTTCTTGTTGATATCTCCGACAGCGTTCACAGAAGGAATTTGTTTGGTTTCTTCCCCCGGACATGTTGCTGGCTCGTCAGATCGGTTAAAAATATAAAAATGTTCTTCAAAGTCTTGGTTTACTTAAAATAATTCATGAAATGATGGATATAGAGATTTTCCAGGATTTGTAGAAGGAGTAAAACGATTAAAAAGCAGAGTAAAGAAGGGAGCAGGCTGGAGCAAGCAGGAAAGTGTCTGCACTCTTCAGAAGCAGGAAGCATACGTATTCATGCATAAGGGAGGACGGATACAAGTCCCACCATTCAAGCTGCTCGAGCCTCCCAATGAAGAAGTCTGCCCACCATTCAAGCTGCTTGAGCCTCCCTTTGGAGGAGTCTAGGTCCCCCACGGCAGCATTACGAAGGAAAAAGGAGGAGGGGCTGGTACCACAATCCAGACCCCTGAGTGCCCTGGAGGAACAACAGTGGCAAGAATGGCTGGAATGGGAGACGGAGCGCTGTCGGGTGCGCCAGGAGGAAGAGCGTCAGGGGACGGCCACCATCGACCCCACATCTCACCCAGGCCAGAAGATGAAAGACGAACCATCCAATGGGGGCAGCCACGGTCTCGGGGAAGGTGCCCCAAGGGGAGCATCACCCAAGACCAACAGCTACTCCAGCAATTGGAAGGAATTGCCCGGAGAGCTGAAGGGTACAACGTATGGCTCAGGAATTGGAGAAATTAGAAGAGCGGCTGGAGGAGGATAGGGCCTCCCAGCAGGCCCAGCAGAGACAGAGGGAATCCTGAGTTAGCTCCACAACGGAGCACATCACTCTGAAACTCCAAGGCACTATGGAATCCGATAGAGCATGGTCAGAGGAGGCACAGATCACTGACAAAGGACAGATAAAAGATAGAGGAAGCCAAGACCGAGTTGGCATGGAACTAAGAAGCGGGAAAAGAGTTGGTAACCTACTGGTGGACCTGTCAGATGAAGAGAGCGAAGGTTCCCACATGTGCCCCCTTGTAACAAAAACTGGCGGAAGAAAACAATACGAGCCCTGGCCCTTCATGGACATGATAGGCCTGGCAGAATGCCTACCAGTGCTCACAGATGGGGCCGATAAATGGATAATGGCTTTGGAAGAAACCACAGCTGGCATACAGTTGGCCTTAGGAGACATCAAAGCTATACTCAACTATGTGGCAGGAAAACAGACCACCCTGGAAATATTCACTGACGTTCGCTTAAGTGCAGCTATTGATAACAGTGTGTACGATGATGAGAGTTTTGGACACTACCGCTCCCAGGTGTGGCAGCAACTGAGAACGCACTACCCGACAAAGAGAGACCCATCCAAGCTGGAGGGAGAGACCATGGCGGATGATGAATGTCCCTCCAAGTTCCTACACAGCTTCCAGAAAAGGTGGAAGGAAGAGACAGGAGAAGCGTGGAATGCTAATAAAACGACTCACAGTCTGTTCAAAATGATGGTTAAAAAAGCCATGCCAGAAGATGTACAGCGACACCTAGAGGGTGTGGTAGGATTGATGAAGATGGACTGGCCACTGTTTTCAGAACACATTATCCATCATGTGGAGCTCTACAGAAAAGACAAAAAGAAAATGGAAGAGGATAGCAAACAGCTGGCCAACAAACTGACCCAGCTGCAGTTGGGAGAGCTAAGTAAGTTGGTCAAGAAGGAGAAAGAAAAAACTAAAGTTCAGTCCCCCATGGTAATGGAAAACCAAACAGCTCCACAGGCCGTCCAGCCCCAAGCACCTCTGCAGCCAGCCCCAACAGACCCAAACACAGCAGAAAATGACAATTCTTCCAATGCCACGCATCACCATTACTATTACCAGCAGCAAGCACCAAGAGGCGGCAGCAACCAGCGGCCCCCAAGGGGGCGGGGCCAAGGTGGACCCAGAGGAGATACAACGTTTCGAGGAGGATGGAAGGGGGGCCGAAACTACATACCAGGGAACCAGCATATTTACCAGCAAACCGCGCCCAACCAGCACCCAGGCCCACCAGACATGTGTACAGGTTACCCGGGAGCTAATCCGGCTCCACCTGACAATCTGTGCTGGGGGTGTGGTCAACCAGGCCATATATGGAGCCAGTGCTCTAGTAATCCATGGGAAGGTCCAGCACAGAACTGGCCCAACACGGAGCAGGTGCGCCCTTGGTAGGGGTGCCCAGAGAAGCCTGAGGGGGAACTAATGTCACCAGCTATATCACTACAGTCACATGATGAACCGATCATACCTGTTGTCATTCACGAACGTGAGTACCCTTTTATGGTGGACACAGGGGCTACATATTCATGCATTGGAAAAGAAGGTTCCAGGTTCCCCCTTTCCACGTCATCAATAAAAACAATAGGCTTCTCTGGGAAATCACAAGTCATACCACTGATGGAGCCCGTTCCAATGCTCACTGCAGGAAAAGTTATATGTGCGCCCCTGCTATATTCAGCCCATACCCCAGTAAACTGTTAGGAAGAGACATTCTATGCCCATTAAAAGCGAAGATCGTGTGCACCCAAGATGGACTGTATTTGGATTTCCTTGACGAACCCCCACAAAATATGATGTCACAGCTTCCCCTGGGCACGACAGAAAAACAACAAGCACTTGCCTATTGGCTTCAGCTGGCACCAGAAGAGTCGCACCTCAAACAGGCATGGACTGAATGGGAGGTGTGGATTCGACTTCATTATGACACAACACATACCCCCACTCTGCCACTGCACTGCATGCTCATGTATGACAAAGATCTGACTCATGTAGATTACCAAGAATGTTGGGACACAGTAATCAACAAGAAACCATGTCTAATTACAAGTGAAGACATGTTTTTGGGACCAGAAGGCGTGGCAGCGGCCGTCTGCCTTTCGGAAGAGTTGTCTGGGTGGTTTCAGGTACCAAATTCCACGCCACACGTCACACTGCTAGTGGCAGAAGGTTATGATTCTCATCATCTTGGTCCTATGGTCAAGCATGCCCTGCAGGTGCAAGAGTGGGTGCCCACAAAGAATAAGTACATTCACATCTCAAAAGATAAGCAGTTTATCAGAATCTCAGTCAAAGTAGGTGATGAGGCAGTAGCAGGCAAGGTAATGGTAGATGGAAGCACACCCACCCATATGGTAGTTGCTGCAGAACATGATGAAATGCTAAACCAAGTTCCACCCCAGTTGTGGAAAGCTCATAAGACTGATGTAGGGTTGATAAAATCAGCCCAACCTGTTCACATTAAGCTAAAACCACACATTAATCTACCATATCAGAAACAGTATCCTCTCAAACAGCATGCGATTGACGGTATCAGATTAAGGGTTTGGTGGAAGCAGGGGTATTGGTTAAAATTAATAGCCCTTGCAACACACCCATTTTTCCCATCAGAAAGCCAAATTCAACAGACTACCGTCTAGTCCACGATTTGAGAGCAGTTATAGGCGGTGGGCCGAAGGTCGCTATCTGCTTTTGTTTTTGAAATGATTGATCCTCAGCGATAGAGTAGCTGCTTTTTTAACATTAACTTAATATATTTTTTCTGAACAAGTTTCCGTTTGTTGGCAGTCTCAATTCAATCATATTTTTATGAAAACTAAACTTATGTTTCATAAACTAATCAGGCAAACGCTATGGCGTACTATACCGCAAACCAATCAACAACAAGTTCCAGGGTCACCTGACTTGAAGTGTGCCAATGATATTTGCCCAAATAGGAAGTAAACACGGCTCAGAGGAGTTGACCGGAATTGACCGGAGCTAACCGTAAACAGTATGTAGTCTGTGTCTTTATGCTATCTAACCGACAGTATTCACCTGGACATTTTCTGCATATCTTCCGTGAGAAGCTGAAGACGTTTCTAACGTTAACTTAGTTGAAGTGTTTTGAACAGTTATTCACGTTGTGTATTAGCTCATTAGCCACCGATGTGTTGTTAGCATTCATCACTAGCAAAGTGAACGGACTTTTAGCCGCAGTACAGCCTCTATCAGTACAGCTAACTCAGCTTACTAATGAGGCTGCAGTTCATAGTTTCCGATGAGGAGAACCTGAGGAATAAACGGACTGTGCTGTGAGTAACCCAGCTAACGCTCAGAGTATCCTGACTGCACTGCTCGGGCCCCGCTGTCATGGACGACATCGACGGGCCGTCTTCATCTTCGCCACTGACTGAATGAATGACTGAAAGGCTGTTACACATCGTCTGGACACGTGTGACATCTTGATCCTCGCCTGCTGGTTCGAGAGACCATGGAGTTGACAGGAAATCAGACGCAAACTATCTAACTATCAAACTATGTGATGACTATGGTATTAGTACTTTTACTGAACAAAAGGATCTGAATACTTCACCACTGTATGGTATATGAATAACAAAAGGATCTGAATACGTCACCACTGTATGATATATGAATATTTATGATATGAAAATTGAAATTGAATGTACTGTCCAAAGTCAAAACCACAATGTTGTACAAACCAATCTGCTGTATTGCCCTCTCTTTACTCTTGCGAGCTCTCTCAATGTTTCTTCTGTTGGCATATTGCATATAACATTCTCGGTGGTAGCCAACATTAGCTGGCACACAAAGACATTTTCCTTTAACTCATATTTTTCTACAGCTATTGCTGCAACTTGGCTTTCTTTAGTATCAAAACTGACCCACTCCAGAGAACTTCTTACAAATGCTGCCCAACTTTCGGCTGAAAACCGTATGATATTAGGAGTTGTGCTGCCTGCTACGTGCATGCAGCACTCCATATTTTCCAGGATGCATCCTTAGCTGCAGATGTGCTAGCTAAGGTAAACATGTGTTTGGGTTGATGCAAATGAGATGACATTTAAAAAAAAAATCAAATCAAGTGGAGAAAACGACTCAGACTCATCACTTGTTGTATATTGTAGTTTATTAGGTCATTCATTAGACTCTAGAAGCTTATAAACTAGTCAGTTTAGGGTCTATTATTAAGAAATATATACATATATATTAAAATTACTCTTTTGTATAGTATTAGAACAATATGAGAAGCAGATGTAACATATGCCTCTTGCATGTTACATTAAATACATCAGTTGAGCTTTAAATGGTCACTATGTCGAATAGCAAAATCTTGTAATATAGAATATAATTTTGCCAGTAATTTTACCTTTATTTAATAGTTGTAAGGTGTACATATTTGTGTTATTTTCATAT